CCCCCCCCCCCCCCCCCCCCCCGCCGCCGCCGCCGCCGCCGCCGCCGCCGTCGGCTCCATGCTGTCCCCGCGATGGCTGCGACTGCGATGTATCCCCTGTATCACACGCGCTACTTCCCAAACTGCCACATCTGATTGCCGACTCGCGATTCCTCGAACACCCCTGCAACAGATCGGATTACACATTCGCGCACAACCCTCATTCGTCACCCGTCATTCGTCACGTGATACGTAATCGATTCATCGGGACGATTTCTATCGAAATTCGATAATTCGTCAATGTAACAATACAAGAAAGAAGAATTTTTTATTATTTCTTTCCGTCGTCATGATTTTCCTTATCTAAGTTCAAGAGCAAGAACGATTATGGTGATAAACAATATATTTTGATCAACATTTTGTTTGTCGATAGGTAATAAACTATGTTAAATTCATAATGTCAAATTATACCGAATTAGTATTATTTTTAATCGTTTCTATAGTTTATCACACTTGCTACTGCTTCTACTCACAATATGTCATTAATTACATAATGAAGTAAAACAATCTAATTCAAGAAAATGTTTTAATTTAAATTTAATTTATTATTTACCAAGTGCATACACGCGTATTAATATAAATGTTGTTTACTTTGAAACTAGTAGGTACAGAAATGGAATTTTGAAGCACATGCAAGTTAAAAATAATAAAATATTATTTAATTTTCAATTGATGACGTACATCAAATTGACTCCGTATCATTAGTGGTAACGTGACGACAATTTGATTCCGTATCACTAATGAACTGCGAGGAATGCTGCGGGTGCCAAAAAAATAGTGCCAAAAAAATGTACAATCAACAGTACAATAGTGATATGCAGTTTATTAGTTCTCAATCGATTATGAAAATTAACATGTATTTTTTACATATATTTTTTTCATTTCTATCGTTCAATTAAAAGTTGTTGTAACTGATACTGCGAAATTTGTGTTTGCGATCAACGTTTCAATGGTAGAAAACTTATAATTCTTCTCTACTAATAATGATATCGTTATATTTCTGTATCCAATAGATATTCAATATGTGTCAGTGTTTAATTTTTCCATCACTATTTCTCATTCTTTTTTTTACTACAGAATATAATAACAGAATATAATAACAATATAAAAATGGTTCTAAAAAAAAATATTTCATATTTACAAATAAAATGTACAATATTATTGTAATACATTAATACATACATTAATAAAAATTATATTTTGTTTGTAAAATATTATATAATAAAATCAGTAAATAACAAATAATCATAATAGTAGATATATTAATATTAGTGAAATGTATCTCTATTTAAGGATACGTCAATTGACATCACCACTGGTGATATCAAAAAAGATGGTCGCCACTCGAAGGTTCATCAATCAAGAGATTAAGGTATTGTTGTTCTTCTTATAGATGTACATATTTTTAGATTTGAATTTCTTATATAATAATGCAATATACATGTACTATATGTAATATAAATACATATTAAGAAGAACGTTCTGTTGTACCAATAAGAAGTATAAACAAAACTGAATTCTGATCATATGAATTAAAATTCTGATTATCATATAATAAATAAATTTCTAGTTATTTCTACTAGAACGTTTGATAGATTAATTATACAACTATAAAATACAATTATAAAAAATGTTAACTATACATGATTGCTTTGTATTTTCCTACCCTGAATTTATGAGAATTCTAATTAATGCAACGAAATTTTTTCAGTATATGTATAGCTACAAGAAATTTGAATATTTTTTAAAATATATGTAAATAAATATGACGTTACAAGAGCTCTTTTTATCGTTTATGTCCAATTTTGAATGATATATTGAAATAATAAAATTTATTGGCAATATTTAATGTTAAAAAATTACACCGATAACGTTCCTGTTTCTTAACATCTAAATGGATTCTTATGTATTTCATTCCGTAAAGTGAAAGAAAATATATATTATAAATTGATTAAATTTATAGAAATTTTTCAAAATAAAGTCTTTGATTTTTCAAAATCCGTGGATGAGAGAACTTTTCTAATCTTATATTCTTTCACAACAGCTAAAAAATACAGGCATTGAGAAACTTTGTAAAGAGGTTCTATTTTCGATCAATCATCTTGTGCAAAAGTAGTTGCGCAATATAATATTGCGCAAGACAAGAAATAAAATTTCACACAAGTTAACATTTTGTTACGCAAAATTTAATTGTATAATAATAATAATAATAATAATAATAATAATAATAACAACAACACAATAATAATATTCACGCAATATATAATACGTACTTTGTCGGGTTGCAACTAACAAATTTATGCAACATCTCTACTCATGAAAAATAAATAAGCTGCACTAAAAATGAAACAAATTTTAATTTCACACACGCAAACAAAATTTTGCACAAACTGTTAATCAATCCCATTTATGATCAATCATGTTGCACAATCAAGCAACGATTGATCGTAAATGAACCTCTTTAATCTTCAATCATTGTTATTGTGTTATTGTGTTATTAATATACATTCAAAATGAATAATAGTTATAGAATAGTAAAATGAAGGAATTATTGTATTATATTACGTATTTATTATTCGCGCTTACTTGGGACTTGTGTTCCGGGGTGGACGGTGGATTCGGTGTGTTCGGCAGCGAGCCCCCCGCAGGGGTACAATGCCGCAGTCGCGCCAGGGCCGTGCGAAGCCCCTCCGTCACGAGAATCTTTTATTGCTTCCGATTTTTCACCTCTGTTCCCCGCGCCGCCTTTTGGGTCCACCCTTTCGCGTGGTGCCTTCTTTCCTTAGAAATCACGTTCTCCTTAAAATCCTTCAGCAGGATATTCAAAAGCCACCCTTCGCTCGCCACGGGAATCGTTTGCAGAGGAGTCGAGAGATTCACGAATCTGCTGCCTCGTGCCGCTGATTGTGTCCCGCGCAACTTATCAACCACCACATTCACCATTGCACATTTCCTCCGCCCTTAGACACACAAGCCTCCGATTCTCCTCTTTACCACACCCCGTTTACTTTCTTTATCTTATCTAGAGACACAAAGTTGGGCAAAGTGTAATAAACTCAATCACTATCACAAGTACAAATTTGCTAAGTCATTCAATTAATGATTATTATCATTGAACAATCAATAGTATAATCGTAGTATAATCATTAAACAATGATTAGTGACAATGAAAATAATCAAAATTAATCAAAATTAAATCATATATCATGATTAAATCGTTCGTCATTAATCATTTGTCAGTAAAAGGATGAGCTTTTTATCAATTTAAATTAATAGTTATTTTATAGTTACATTTTTTAAAGATTAATCATTTTCTAATAAAATTCACATTTTTTAGTTATAATAAAAAGTTTTACATTAGTCATCATATCGTACAATTTATTTTAGTTATGTAGAAGAGAGAGGGAGGAGGAGAGAGAGAGAGAGAGAGAGAGAGAGAGAGAGAGAGAGAACTAAAATTACTCAATATAACTGTCATTTTAAATTCATATTAATAATTCATATTAATAATTCATATTATTCTGATGAGTTTTTTTCACGATTGCGTATAAGAATAATTTTTCGATGAAAAAACTTAATACATATAAAAATATTTTGTATTAAAAAATATCAATGTGCAAATAAAATAAGTCAATAATTTTTTATTATTTTTATTATGTAATTATCCATTAATTATTAATGATTTTACAATTAGATTTGATTAATAAGTGATTATTTTAATTCATATTATCGATGATTACTTTAGTCATAAATCATTCGTTAACATCTTTTTAGATGATTTTATATTAATGCTTTCTATTAAAATGTATATTAACTAGGTATTTCCTATCATTTATGTTTTATTTATTTTATCGATGACACATTATATAGTAATACGATGGAAAGCCGTTTCCATTCTTGTTCATCCTTGAGATGATAGATAGCTGTTAATCAACTACTAATCATCGTGAAAATAATTACTTTCCGATTTACTGCTTGGAAGAATCGAAGCGATCTCTGCGATTTAATGGTAAGCCTCGGAGGCTTGCTTGGCCGATGAATTCAAGATGTGCGTGATGAACAAATACTGAAGCTTATGTACACTAAACGAAACACAAGAATTGCAATACCGTGTATCTCGAGTGCAGTAAAATGCAAATTCTCATATCAGTGCGAGACAACATCAAACTATCATGGTAATTTTCATTTTAGATTAAGATTAGTTACTATACACGCGATTCGACGTGACGTTAGTATTTATCATATATCGGAAATAGCAACGTGTGTAATGGCAAAAAGTTTCTATTAACGAACCTCTCGCAATGTCACGCCTTGAATAAAGTAAACACATTAGACGGGCGTGCACGGTGAATAGTAATCTAAATTTGATAGATTCTCTGAGATTCTTTTTCCGTGAAACTTCTTCGATTAGGTTAGAGAGATATATTTCTAATATTTCTAATTATTATATACTTTTGCTACGTAGCTTCCGACGATGTTTTC